GCACAACTTCCCATAACTTTCTCGGTATAACTGTTTGCCAAGTCGTCACTTTTCCATCTGCAGTTTCCCATCTCTGAACAAGAATACCATCTTCAAGCTTCAACTGGTCCCATTGTGCCCAATAGTTCTTTGTCACAGGGCTTAAGCTAATCACCTTCTCCCAAGCAGGTCGCAAAACACTTACTTTTAAAAAATCAGTTATTGACTTCAAATTTTGGTCTTTCTCCTGCTCTGATTTAATATCTATACCTGGTTCCACTTCATCATCATCAACTCCTTCAGTCACTTTGACTTCAGCTTGATGCCAACTGCTTAGTTCAACCTCTTTTTTAACACTTACTGGAATTTGGCCTTTGTTGTTCCCAATTGTCATTTTATCGAAGTTAACTACACACTTCCTCGGTAGTAAGTAGTCCAACACTAATATGCATGGGTCTTCAATGTCAGACAAGTATACTTTGTGTCTGTCCTTCATGCCTATGAGCTCAATAGTTACCCACACTGGTCCCCACAACCTTGCATTATGTCCTGTCACATCACAGAGCTTCTGTATGGCTTCTGGTACTCCTTTGTGATCTAGCACCTTGATACTCACAAGGGTTTGCTGTGATGCAGGATCTATGACACAGTTGCACTTTTGGACATCCAGCTTTCCTGTCACGTAGACACTATGTCTATGCCATTTTACACTTAGCTGTTGGGACTTTCACAATGGGGGTTGGTAGGCGTCCCTCAACACCAACCACTACTTGTTTCACTGAGACTGACTTATTGGTAGTATTCCTCTTACACTGGCTCCTCATATGTCCTTGCTCTCCACAGTTCCAACAACCTTTCTGGGTAGCAGCCTTTCCTGCCATGGCATCTTCCCTGTGTTGAAGTTGCCGACATTGAGCTTTCTTGTGCCCTGGTTTGTTACAGTGCCAGCAAAGTCCCTCAAACCTCTCTGAAAGCTGACCTTTTCTGGCCTTGAATCCTATTCACTGTACCAACCTTGGTACCTCTGTGCTGGACTTAACGTAGGATTTAAATTCAAGAGCTGTGGCCATTGCATCTTGTATCTTCATTTGTGGACTGTCCAAGGCATCTACAAACTGATCCCTCAGCAACAACTTGACATCGGGTGGTGCAGTTGGGTAGGCCTTGTGTGCTATACTTTCCAAATTTTGTGCCAGCTCTTGCAGGCTCTCCCCTTTAACATGGACGCTAGTCCTAAACCTGTAGAATTCGGAATGATTTTGTGTTCCATATCTAAGTTCTAGAGCAGCTACCAGTGCTCTATAGTTATGCCTGTCATCTGCTGACAACTGTCCAAGTATTTCCAGTGGTTGTCCCTTCAGGCTCATTGCCAGGTACACTGCTTACTGCTCTTCTGTCCATCCATTAATTTCTGCCAGGAGCTCAAATTGTGCTCTATATGCTTCCCATGGTGCCTTCCTATAGAATTCCTGTGGCTTCCTTCATACTAGATCACCCCTATTGCTGACACTCCTATCTGGAATGTGACTTCTGGCAGGACTGAAGATGTCTGCATTAGGGTTTAACTGCGAGATCTGGAAGGGGCTTCCTGTTGTTTAGGCCCATGGCTAATATATCCTCCCTGTGTAAAAGATAGTAAATCATCCTTTAATATATTTAATTCACTTTGAAATTTACTAATCTTTTCCATTTGCACTTTTTGTTTCATTTCTTGTTTCAGTTGCCACTGGTGCTGGTTTTCTTGCCACTGCTGTAGTCTCTCTTCTTGTTTCTTTTGTTTTTCTTCCAACAAATGCTGTAGTCTCTCTTCTTGTTTCTTTTGTTTTTCTTCCAACAAATGCTGTAATCTCTCTTCTTGTTTCTTTTGTTTTTCCTCCAACAACTGCTGTAATCTCTCTTCTTGTTTATTTTCTCGTTTTTCTTGTTTCTTTTCTTTATCCTCCAACAACTACTGTAATCTCTCTTGTTTCTTTTCTCATTCTTCTTGTTTATTTTCTCGTTTTTCTTGTTTATTTTCTTGTTTTTTTGTTTATTTTCTCGTTCTTCTTGTTTCTTTTGCTTTTCTTGAATTGCTGCCATCAAATCTGCTAAGCTGTAGTTTGATTTGCCATTTCTCGTTTCCATCTTCTTTTTTTTTCATTCCCATTCTCAACACCAATTTGTTACGTATCTGCTCATTTATTAATTTTCGGTATAAATTCTTTCCGAAAAACTTCAGCAATACAAGTCCTTTCTTAACCCAAAACTAGTTTATTCTTTCTTGATACAACTTTTTAGTACACAGAATTTCCACAGTCACTTTAAACTTAACAACCTTTATAACACACGCTATAAATCACAGTGATTCACACACTTTACTTACAGTGCCTACTGTTCGCTTGACTCAGTTATCTATCTCTTCTATCTGTCTGCATATCTATCTTTCTATGGCTTTATTTGCTGGGCTTATGTACTAAAAAAGAGGGTGCTTGGCAAACACTCGGACATTTGTGAGGTTCCTCGATAAGTCATGATCCTTCTAGAAACTCCAGTGAGCATGCTCCCAGCATCACGTAACTTCCGCTGTCGTAACAGTATGATACATTCACATCAACATAGTAAGGCCTCTGTAGGGATAAAGTGTAATGTCCATGATAGTGCCAAAAGTTATATTCTTGATATTTTAATATTTTGTTCTCTGGAGTGAGGTTTTTAAATGATATGATTGTGTGAAGTCTGGAAGTCTACTAAAAGTTTAAACATTTTTTGGATCCTTGAATGATTGTGAAATTGAGTACAATATAAAAATGCCAAAACTGAATAAGTTAAAATTGATTGATTAATTCAGTGTTCGCTACAGTTTTACTGGATGAGTGGGTGTGGTTGTCAATGATAGAGTCAGGAAGTTAGTTAGTGTGTTTGATTAGTAAGTGACATATTTAAGAGTTATGCTGAAACATTGTTTGTGAAGTTGGCTTACCAAGAAACAGAACCTGTATAAAACGTTTCTGAAGAGATAAACTAATTTGTTATTAAAATCATAAATAATATTCAATGTTAAACTGATACACATTTAAATACATTTTATTTAGACCTATCTGTGGCCTTCAAAAAGTTGAAGACTCTACATGTTTCGACGTTACAACATCATCGTCAGGACTGCATATACACAAGTGCCAAAATACTATAATTAATTTGTTATTGTTATTTTTAGCAAATAATTAAAAGGATCTTACACCTCTATAGAATACACTACAATGAAGTGGTTAGAAGTGGGAATTATTTTGAGGAAGATAAAACATAAGATTGAGTAAATTTAAATATATAAACATGAGCACAAGAAAAGATTGAATATTTGATTATGAAGCACTGTAAAGAAGAATAAGCATAGAGGAATAGAACATTTAGATAAAAGAAATCAAAAATTAAAGGAAGAACAAGACAGAAAATGGAAGGAAAGCCAAGATATTTATATATAAATAAAAGAATATCAAGAGGTAAGGGATGTTAAGAAGGAAGTTAAAAGAAAGGTAATGAAGAATTATGAACAAACAAGAATCTGATTGAAGGCAAGATTGATAAAATTATGTACTGAGGGATCATTAGAACAAGATTGAAAAAGTAGAGAAGGACATCAACAAAGTAAAGAAAGTATAACGACAAATTGAACGAGTGCAAAAAGACAGCAACGAAGTACTGAAAGGCCAAAATTACAAAGTAAAAGAAGTCCAAAAAAATTAGTGAGGCAGAAAAGAACATCAATGACAGAATAGAATATTTGAAAAAAATAAATTTGTGATAAATCGAATCAGTCACACCTCTTTACAAGAATTCCAACCTAAAACTCCTATTAAATATGGAATAGGAGAAACAATTTGGTATGCACCAATTACCACTGCTGCTGTAACATCTATTACTGCAGGACCATTCTGTTCTAATCCAGCCATGTCACAACTAAATCCATTTTAACAGTTCAGATAGTCAGTTCAATAAAATCACCTATTTGAGATACCAAAAACTATCTGTTTAGTATAAAAGTTAATTAAACAGATGTCAAGGATTTTCTTTAGTTAAGTGTGCAGGTATTAAGACTTTTGGTTAAGTAGCCAGATGTCAAGATTGTTTATTGGTTGAGTTTGATTTGGAAATACAAAGCTTTCTCAGCTAGCCAGCTCAAGTTTTGAACTGATAGATTAAATTGAAGGTAGCTAGTCAACAGTGCCCAGCTAATGTTCTGAACTGATAGATTAAATTGAAGGTAGCTTGTCAACAGTGCCCAGCTCATGTTTTGAACTGATAGATTAAATTGAAGGTATTTAGTCAACAGAGCCCATCATCTTATTGAAAATCTATATTTACCCACTAACGAATTATGAGATTTAAATCAGTCTTTACTAGCTTTAGGTATTTAAATAAAGTTGGTACTTTTGATTATTTACAGTTCCACATCACTCTAACTTTTACTTACGGGTTATGTTACTTTACATTTAAATAAAGTTGGTACTGTTGTTTATTTATATTCCACATCAAGCTAACCCTTAGGTAAGGGGTTTCTTATCTCTTTGTTTAAACATTTCGATAAAGTTGGTATTCTTGTTTATTTATATTCCACATCAAGCTAACCCTTAGGTAAGGCATTTGTTATCTCTTTGTTTAAACATTTTGATAAAGTTGGTATTCTTGTTTATTTATATTCCACATCAAGCTAATCCTTAGGTAAGGGGTTTGTTATATCTTTGTTTAAACATTTTGATGAAGTTGGTATTATTGTTTATTTATATTCCACATCAAGCTAACCCTTAAGTAAGGGGTTTGTTATCTCTTTGTTTAAATATTTTGATAAAGTTGGTATTCTTGTTTATTTATATTCCACATCAAGCTAACCCTTAAATAAGGGGTTTGTTATCTCTTTGTTTAAACATTTTGATAGAGTTGGTATTCTTGTTTATTTATATTCCACATCAAGCTAACCCTTATGCAAGGGGTTTGTTATCTCTTTGTTTAAACATTTTGATAAAGTTGGTACTCTTGTTTATTTACAGTTCCACATCATGTTAACCCTTATGAAAGTGGTTTGTTACCTCCTGGTTTAATTCTTTTGGAGGATTTTTTAACTGAGGAGGAAGAAAACCTACTTATGGAACTTGATGTTAAGGAAGAAAAAGAAGACGACATTAATAATACAGGTAAATTTGAAACATAGCTAGATTAAGAAATAACTTTTTAGAGAAATATACATTGGAATGGAGTGAATATTTTGTTTTGTAAATTGTTTTCAATGAGATACGATAAAGTTATGTTTTATTTAGTTGATTAAAGATTTAACAAAAAATGATTTTTAGAGAAAACTATATTATAAGGAAAGAGAAAATCTGACATGTTATTCCATTGGTACATAACATATAACCTAGAATATTCTATACTCAATAATTCACACATACACTGAAAACAATTAAATTCATTAAAGGACAGAAAAGGACCAAGCTGTAAATTATGGGAAGAAATTACATTTGAAGACTAAAGACAAGCATTTGTTCTGTCAGTATAGCCCACTACATCTAATCTAGGTGTGGTTAAATACAGTCAGTATAGACCACTACATCTAATCTAGGTGTGGTTAAGTACAGTCAGTATAGACCACTACATCTAATCTAGGTGTGGTTAAGTACAGTCAGTATAGACCACTACATCTAATCTAGGTGTGATTAAGTACAGTCTGTATAGACCACTACATCTAATGTAGGTGTGGTTAAGTACAGTCAGTATAGACCACCTCATGTAATCTAGGTGTGGTTAAGTACAGTCAGTATAGACCACTACATGTAATCTAGGTGTGGTTAAATACAGTTAATATAGACCACTACATCTAATCTAGGTGTGGTTAAATACAGTTAATATAGACCACTACATCTAATCTAGGTGTGGTTAAATACAGTTAATATAGACCACTACATCTAATGTAGGTGTGGTTAAGTACAGTCAGTATAGACCACTACATGTAATCTAGGTGTGGTTAAATACATACAGTATGGACCACTACATCTAATCTAGGTGAGGTTAAGTACAGTCAGTATAGACCACTACATCTGATCTAGGTGTAGTTAAGTACATCTCTACATCTTAACCGGACATAGATGAACCAATTCTTATTCATATTTATTTATCTATCCGTGATAACTTAATTAGTTTCAATATTAATGAAATATTGTGCTTTAGAAATTAATGTGATTCAAAATCAGATTGTTTGCTGCTGTATCAGGTTTATTGTAACTAATATGAGAAATGGTAAATATTTTTCACAGATGTTGGACATAATGAAAAACAAATCCTTTTCTTCTCATGTCCATTATGATCACTATGCAGCATTATATTTTTATTGAACAATTCCAGCACAAGATCACAAAAAATCCGTAACGTTTTGTTTGTTTTATGTCTTAATGATTTAATGTTTATTAACCTCCATTTGTTTATGTTGCTATGGTAGAGTAAATTAAAATGATACTTCTTTATGTTGGATGAAAGGATCCACTTACCTTGTTTCATACCTTGTCACAACATTTTAGAGTTCACAAACTACCTTTCTATAAATTCATTGTTTTACACCTTGTCGCTGTGTTTCAGAGCTAGTCCTACTTCCCTTGAGTTGAGTGTTTTATATAGTGTAAGTAGTGGCAATGAATAAGTGCTAACACTTCTTTCTATAAATTCATTGTTTTACATCTGGTCTCTGTGTTTCAGAGCTAGTCCTACTTCCCTTGAGTTGAGTGTTTTATACAGTGTAAGTAGTGGCAATGAATAAATGCTAACACTTCTTTCCATAAATTCATTGTTTTACACCTTGTCTCTGTGTTTCAGAGCTAGTCCTACTTCCCTTGAGTTGAGTGTTTTATATAGTGTAAGTAGTGGCAATGAATAAGTGCTAACACTTCTTTCTATAAATTCATTGTTTTACATCTGGTCTCTGTGTTTCAGAGCTAGTCCTACCTCCCTTGAGTTGAGTATTTTATACACAGTGCGGTCTCCCTTGAGTTGAGTGTTTTATACACAGTGTGGTCACAAGTAAATAAACACCACCTTTTCAGAAAAAATTAAAATTTTCAGTCATAATCACATGAATTGATATATTTATAATTTAATTAATATCTAATAGATCTTCCTTTTGCTTCATGGAGTTTGTTGATCTTTTGGGGCATTGTGAGAATCATCTCGTCAATTTTAGACTGTGGGATTTTCGCCCACTCTTGCTTAAAAACTTGGAGTAGATCGCTCTCCGAAGTTGTTTTTTTGGTTATTTCTTGACTTGCCGGTCGAGTATGGCCCAAAGGTTTTCGATGGGGCTCATGTCAGGAGATTGGCTCGGCC